TCTTCAGATTAATTTATTTTTACACAAAGAGGAATTATTAACTTTTGCTTTTTAAACTTCCGATCTTCAGAGTAACTTGATGGCTAATCGGGACCAGAAATACACAAAGAACTACAGGAAGTTCTCACCCATCATTTTCGTGGTCCTAACACACTCATATACACACACACACGCACGCACGCACGCACACACACACACACACACACACACACACACACACACACACACAGTGGATTCAAATGTGAAGTGAATGTACACGGGCACATCAGAGAGACTATGTTAGCCCCTCCCATACCCACACATACTACAAAGCAAGTCTTAATGTTGTCTAATTCAACTATATGAAATCACTGGTGCAACTATGTTAAAGGTGCAGTATGTAGGGATCAAGTGAGAATTTGACAGTGAGAAAATCCCAAAAGAGTCTGATGTTTCAGTCATTTAGGAAGGAAGTTTCTACTGAAACATGTTTCATATCCCACTGCCAGCTGGATTGTATGTTTTTCTCCTAAAACAAAGGATGGACGTAACTACTGTTTACCATCAGTGAGTGTGGGGGGCGTGTCTCCTGGGAGCTAACGCTGCAGCGCCCACTGTTGTAATTTGACGACGGCCGGCAAAAAGCTCCAGAGTTGTTTAAAGTGGTTGCAGTGACCACATTTCACCACAGGATGCCATTTTTACTTAATTTCTACATAATGCACCTTTAAACATGTTTCTATTCTTTTACAGGAGGCTGTGGTTGGTGGATGGGGAGCCTGGCCTAAGAGGACCAGGCTAAACACAGATGTGCAGCACTCCTGCTGATGCCACGGCCGTCAGACGTGATGTTGTTGGTTAAGTCGGTGGTTCTGAGGAGAAGACAGCCCCACATGCCCGATCTCACCTCTCTAACTGCAGAAGAGGAGCTCCAGATAAAAGTTCTACAAAGCTGTCCTCTTTCAGGGGTTTTAGATCATGGAAAATTTCAATTACCATTTAAAAAATTCTCAACACAAGTAACAGATAAATGAAGGCAAAACAAGTAAAATGAAGTCCTTTAAGCTGTGAGTCCTTTTCTCTCTCTCCCCGTGTCCTGCCCTGCTGTAAAGCAGCCAGAGCTGATGTCTGAGTACCGAAAACAGTTTTACTCTCACAGGTAGAGCGTTACAGACTCAGCTATAATCCTCCACCTGATATCTAGACTTTATTAGAGATGCCTTTGGTTGTTTTTAAAAGGACACAGAGATGGAGATGAAAGAGAATGGAGGAAAGGAAAGGAAGAGATGGGGGAGAGTTCACAAGAATGAATAAAGGATGAACAAGAAGCAGCTTCTAGATCTGCAGAAAGGGTGAGAGAAAAGGGGACACACAAAAACCTGTCATGAGCTGGGGTGAGTACTCCTGTTCTCATAACCATCTGTGAGTCTCTTGCCAGGAGAGGGAGTGGCCCAGCTGTTCCTGATCAGCAATCAGCGGGGTGCTTTCCTATTTAAGGTGGATGGTGGACACACTTCGACGCTGGAAGATTGCCTCAGTTTTGGTAGTAACCAGCCACTCGTGAGATCGCTAGTGTTCTTAGGATAAATGTTATTTGTAGTGTTTGCGCTTATATTGGATTTACCCTTCCTCAGGATTCCTGTCGACCTCCTTGGATTCTGACCTCTACCAGGATTCGGATATTCAGCACACGGACCATATCACCACCCTCCATAACCCACCTCTCATCTCACCCAGTGCCCCATCCACCAGGACGCCCCGCTTCTCTCCACCTCTGCTCCTTCTCCTGCGCTTCCCCCGGCTCTCTACCTCTCCCTCCTCCTGCCAACACATACACCCCCCACAGTAAGTCTGCTGAACACCTCTGCCTGTCTACAATGGATTGTGACACCAGAACCTTTGCTCACCTGTGTTCTCCCTCCTCCAGACGCTGAGCTGATTGTTGCAGTTTCAACCACAGAATTATCTGTGCATCTTAAGTTTCCCCTTATAAATAAATCATTTTTTCATCCATTTTTTGGTCAGTGTTGTGTTCTGCATGTCTTGGGTTAAGTACCTTCCCCCAAACATGACAAAACCCAACAGAACCAGAACATCACTAACAGTTCTGATGGTTTGTCGTGTTCTTGTCATCCAGACTGTTCTAGTTGTTCTCTCACTCTCTTAATTTACACTCACCTAAAGGATTATCAGGAACACCACACTAATACGGTGTTGGACCCCTTTCGCCTTCAGAACTGCCTTAATTCTACGTGGCGTTGATCCAACAAGGTGCTGAAAGCATTCTTTAGAAATGTCGGCCATATTGACAGGATAGCATCTTGCAGTTGATGGAGATGTGTGGGATGCACATCCAGGGCCCGAAGCTCCCGTTCCACCACATCCCAAAGATCTCTATCGGGGTGAGATCTGGTGAACGTGGGGGTCGTTGTTGTACAGTGAACCCATCGTCATGTTCAAGAAACCAATTTGAAATGATTGGAGCTTTATGGTACGGTGCATTATCCTGCTGGAGGTAGCCATCAGAGGACGGGTACATGGTGGTCATGAAGGGATGGACATGGTCAGAAACAATGCCAGGTAGCCCGTGGCATTTAAACCATGCCCGATTGGCACTAAGGGGCCTAAAGTGTGCCAAGATAACATCCCCCGCACCATGACACCACCACCACCAGCCTGCACAGTGGTAACAAGGCATGATGGATCCATGTTCTCATTCTGTTTACGCCAAATTCTGACTCTACCATCTGAATGTCTCAACAGAAATGGAGACTCATCAGACCAGGCAACATTTTTCCAGTCTTCAACTGTCCAGTTTTGGTGAGCTGGTGCAAATTGTAGCCTCTTGTTCCTGTTTGTAGTGGAGGTGAGTGGTACCCGGTGGGGTCTTCTGCTGTTGTAGCCCATCCGCCTCAAGGTTGTGCGTGTTGTGGCTTCACAAATGCTTTGCTGCATTCCTCGGTTGTAACGAGTGGTTATTTCAGTCAAAGTTGCTCTTCTATCAGCTTGGATCAGTCGGCCCATTCTCCTCTGACCTCTAGCATCAACAAGGCATTTTGGCCCACAGGACTGCTGCATACTGGACGTTTTTCCCTTTTCACACCATTCTTTGTAAACCCTAGAAATGGTTGTGGGTGAAAATCCCAGTAACTGAGCAGATTGTGAAATACTGAGACTGGCCCGTCTGGCACCAAAAACCACGCCACGCTCAAAATAGCTTAAATCACCTTTCTTTCCCGTTCTGACATTCAGTCTGGAGTTCAGGAGATGGTCTTGACCAGGACCACGCCCCTAAATGCACTGAAGCAACTGCCTTGTGATTGGTTGATCAGGCTACCCACAATCCACTGCTGTTGGAGAAGGACTCAAGTTCCTTTTCTGAAAATATGAATTTTCTAATGAAATTAGTTTTAGGACAATACGTTGATGCTCTGAATGTCTTAGACAAAGCAACAACTAATTTAAATTTACTTCAAATAACTGTTGATTGATTGTTTAAAAGTTGTTAATAAAGGTTTTTGAAAAAAAAAAGTATCACAGCAACAGCGTCCCAGCATGCAATGTGATCAAAGATGCAATGCTCCCTGCCTCAGTTCGGCAATCATTTTCACACTTATGTACCACGCACTCCAAGCCTCAACTGTGAACTTTCTCCACGTGCACTTTGCTGAATGCCGCAGTGCGAGTATTGCTGGGTTTCACACGACGTTTCATCTACGCCACCAAATGAAGATGGGGGTCCGGAAGTAGCTGGTGCTGCACTTTTTACTTTGGTGACTGGGCGTTAAAATGCTGAAATTCTGTACGGTCTGCGGAGTGGCCACCGCATGTTTCATAAATCAGGATTTTGACCATTCATACAAACATTCAAAATTTTGTTCATAGGAACGAATTTAGGAATATTTCTACGAATGAGAGCCCAGGACTACAAATGCGCTTCACCAAAGTGACATCACTGAACCACCCAGAAAAACAGGGAAAAGGGCTGCAAGTTCAGCAAACTTCAAATCCTCCTTTCAGGAGGAAAAAACCAACAGATCTGGCCATGTGGTAAGTAGCAGCTACGCTAGGGGAGAGATTTGGTGGTTGCCTCACATATGCGACGTACCGACGTCTGATTAGTAGGCATGCTAATTACGACCTTTTACAAGCTGATAAATCTCGAAGTACGTGACTGGTGTGGTCGAAACACCAATCATTACTTTTCATTTAAACTGAAGTACAACATATGTGCCATCCAGGGCCTAAGGCTAAGCGATTAGAAAATAGCGTTTTTTGCCCCGTTGACTTGTATTGTGTGGCAGTGTGCGTCCTGTCACAGTGTCCCAATTGATCATGCGCCCTGGCTACTTGGCCAAGGGGGTGTCCCTTTGGCTGACTGGTAAGAGCGTATGACTCTCACCCGGGAGTCTGGGGATCGAATCCCGCCCGGGCCCTCGTTTGTCCACCTTGCCACATTTGTAACGTTCTTCCGGAGACCCATGAGCCGACCAGAAAGGGAGGAGATTCCCTATTGCAAACACAGGATTTGCATAAGACTGGAATGTTTTCCTTCAAGCTTTGGCACTGCTAACAACCGGCGTAGATTGTCTCACGAGTCTCCCGCATGCACAGCCAATCACACTAGCCATGTGTTACGTAAGTAGGACTCGAGAACGTCATTTAACCTTTTCTGCACCTCTGGTAATGAGGCTTTGGTAACAGGCTTGTTTATTAGCAGAGGCAGTCACATTATTGGTGGTCATTGCTGGATATTGGTGGGGACACGCCACCCCTGTCCCTTCCACATCTACGCCCTTGCTCATCAGTAATAGAGGATTTAAACCAAAGAGCACCGTTACGACAGAAAAATCCAACAAACCCCAGTGAAACCTTTCAGTCTGAAGTAAAACAAACAATTTGATGTAATTCAACTTCATGGAGAACCTTTGTGACCAGAGCCCAGTGTGAAGTCACCCTTTCAGCTCCTGCGTTATATCCGGGTATTACATCATCGGACATTAGTACCCAATAAACACATGTAATGTTTTATTCTTTATTATTTTTACCTGTTTAGGTTCCCATAGATCAGCACCAACATTTTAAGGTGTTTTATTCTTTCATGGGAACCTTCATGCTGACCAAAAGGTCATGATTTCATTCACTTTTAAAAACTCTGCTTTACACGTCTACATGAGGTGTTTGCGAACAACAGCAAGTTTGTCCTTTTATCCCTATCCTCTCCTGTAGGGTCATGACCCTTTGGATCACCCACTAGGAGGACCCACTCCAGTAGCCCGGTGACCCGTTTGAGCCTTAGAATGGGCGTAGTCCACCGTCACTTTGCTGCCGTCTATCTCACAGTCCTCCATCGTGCCTTTGGCAGCTTTGCAGCTCTCCTCGTTGTCGAATTCTACAAAACCAAACCTAAAAAGACAAATATAAGAATAAATATAAGTGACGGAAGAAACTTTAAATCATTTTGATAAAGGTAGCACATGAGAGCATCTTCTAATCCTAGGAAGACCTCTACACGTCCCGCATACAACTCTACTAATATGACTTGTTCGTGATAATTTGTTTTCAATGTCGATATCCGGAAGCCTGGTTTATAGTACAACACTAGATGTGTAACGGTTCACGGGGGGGGGGGGGGGGGGGGGGCGTTGAACCGTTTCGGTTCGGTCCACTTGCGAACTGTTTCAGTTCATTTTCTGTTAAATAATGAATTATTTTGAGTGATTTGAGTGCAGCGGATAAAAGTTCCTAGGCGAGTTTCTGCACAGACGCTGTATTGAGTGACGCATGATGGCTGCACACGCCCGGTCTCCGTTTAAAAAAGGTGATCTGATAATTCTGATCAACGCCTTTCAGCAGCGTTGCAAACTCAGCGACTTTGCCGCTGTTCCTAACGACTTTTTGACCCCCTCAACGACTTTTTTTCCAAAAAGCGCCTAGCGACAAACCTAGCGACATTTCTCAGGACCCGTTGCTACTTTCTGTAGAACTTTCTTGTAGATATTTCTACAGATTAGCAACAAAGAAACCATTTGCACTCTGAACCGTTCTCCCGGGAGTAAGGAAAGAGAACGATAATCTGCACATGTGCACGAGGACTGACCAATCATAAACCGTTTTCGGCCGGGCCGATAGGAGCAGCTGCAGAGCTGGAGACCGTCGATTTACGTCGGCTCACGCTTCTACTAGAGACGGCGCAGGCGTCAACCTGCGATCTCTGGTTCTGCAGCCGTCAGACACTTTGGTTTTTCCTGCATTTGGCAAATACAGACATCGGGACTTTCAACTACCGTCCCGCTTACACACGCAGCTCTGTGGCTCATCTGAATTTCCTTCAGTGACACAGGGATGGTTATACCATGAGACACCCGCTCCCTTTTGCTCAGTGTGCCGTTATAATCACGATGGAGAGAATACACAACAGAGAAGTAGAGAAACTATGAGGTGTAAAAAAAACAGCTTTTTAGGAAAATGTCTGTGAGAATGAGGAGAGCAGGAGGTCTGAGTCATATCCTGCAACAGAACTGTTTGGATCACCACACCATATCTGTCTTAGGCCTAGTCCACACGTAGCCGGGTTTTTTAAAAACGAATATCTGCCCCTCCAAAAACTTGCATCCACACCACCTCGTTTTAAAACAAAACTCTGTCCACACGTACCCGGATAAATACGTTGTTAAGGACATGCCAGACCTGTAGGCGGCAGTACTTCCCCCGTTCTTAACCTCGTCCTTCGTCTGTGGTCTTCTGCAAGGAGCAGTAATTCCGCTTGCAAAAACAAACAAGCAGAAAGCGCTTGGACAATTGATGGATCGGGTAGTGACAGAGCGCAGCTCTGAGGGCATCCATGCTGTCGGCTAGTGTAAACACAGGTCGCACACGTGATGTCAGCATTTTTTTGTCGCGGAAAGTGACGTTGCGGACCTTAAAACTCCGGTTTTGTCCGTCCACACGCAGACACCCAAAACGGAGAAAACGCAGATCTTCACTTTGGCCGGAGTTTTTAAAAAGATCCGTTTTCGTGTGAAAAAACTCCGTTTTCGTGTGGATGACAGGCCAAAACGTAGAAAAATATCTACGTTTTGGCAGATCTCCGGCTACGTGTGGACAGGGCCTGAGTGTCACTTTATTGATACTTTTGGAATTTATTGTACATATCAAAGAAATTTGGCCATTTTAATCATACTAATAACTTTAACACATAACATAGTTTTTATTATTTGCCTCCCTTTTAGTCATATATATATATATATATATATATATATATATATATATATATATATATATATATATATATATATATATATATATATAAATATAAACATTTCCCATGCTATGGGGAAAATGAAGGCCAATGTGGCGTGATGACGCCATCAATATGTAAATTAGCACGTGACGTCATCTGGCGACATCTAGCAACTTTTGGGGGGAACTTCAGCTACTTTCAGTCAAAAACAGTTGGCAACACTGCCTTTCAGAGCGGATTAAACCAGCTGGCTGTTGCTGCTACTGGAGCCCGTAGAGACGCTGAACGGAGCGTCGTCCCCCTCCCTTCTCTCACACTGCAGGCACGCAGCGGCAAAAGTGTAAACACGTCTGCTGAATTTTCCCGTGACTATTAATGTAAAGTTTTCATCCTACAACAAAAACACGGCGCGGAGGAAGCTCGTTATTTAATCGGAGTTTTAAAGGAGAAACTGGACGGTGTGAGGGGAGTTTTCAAGGCTCGCAGCAGAAATAAAAACACGGAGCACCAGCAGTCAAACACAATGAGCGTGACACTCAAAGCTGCGTAAATAACCTGTGAAATTGTTAAGAAAATGTGTAAACAATGTCATTATGATCTTATTAACTATTATTATTTGAAGTTTCATCATTAACAAGTGAGATCTAGTGTGAGGCTGCATGGTAGAATTAAAAGCTGGTTTAGATCACTTCACTAACGGCATACTAGACCCAAATGGAGCGTTCCAGCATTTGAGTAAGCCACTCATTTTTACACTCATTTATTGTTTTATTGTGGAGGGAGCAATGGGTTGTTTAACTCGTTTGCAGCTGCCTATGTGTGTGTGTTCAGAACATGAGTAGAGGGTTATTAAAGCAAATGCAAGTCTGTCTCGGCTAACAGATTTATGAGCAACGACTGGTAAGCAGGGTTATCTGTAACTGACTGATCCTGTCCTGGAATGCCTTTGAGTGTTTGTAGAAGCGTGATTGTGCGAGTCAATGGGGACTGCCCCCTCAGATGATTGTGTCACTGCACGGAGGAGACGTCAGAGATCTTATACTTGGGTCCACCTTTTGTAGAACACCTCTCCTCAGGAGCCAAACACTTCATTCTTATGTCTGCCTGGATTTGTCACCTTTTTCCTATCATTTATTAACAGAAATAATTAAAGGCATCATGGTAGATCAGCAGCCTGTGATGACGCCTGGTTCTGCTCACTATAGGAGCCGCTTCAGATAAAAAAATAATAATAATATACACACACACATATATATGTCTGTGTATATATGTATATATTTATATATATATATATATATATATATATATATATATATATATACATATATACACACACATATATATATATATATACAGTGGGGCAAAAAAGTATTTAGTCAGCCACCGATTGTGCAAGTTCTCCCACTTAAAATGATGACAGAGGTCATTATTTTACATCATAGGTACACTTCAACTGTGAGAGACAGAATGTGGAAAAAAAAAATCCATGAATTCACATGGCAGGATTTTTAAATAATTTATTTGTATATCAGGGTGGAAAATAAGTACCGTAAATCCTCTAATACAGGCCGGGCCTGTATTAGACTCAAGCTCATCAAGCTCCAGGCCTTTATTGGAAGGAGGGTCAGTATTAGAGGCAGGCCTCTATTTCTATTTGAGCAAAATGAACTAATGGTTCGCTGGAGTTTTTAACAATTAAAATTGCGCCCACATTTTCAAAGTTAAACACATTTCTTTTAACAACGGTAGTTTCTGCTTCAGCCCTCTCCCCCTCCCCCTTCGCAGCGGCCGCAAACTCATTGATGCGTCTGCAGCCTCTCGGGAGTTCCTGCTGCTCTAAACATTAAAATAATTATTTCATTTTCTGTTCCTCACTTCTGATTACCTTCAATGGTGTATGTTTGTTGCAACCAGCAGGTACAAAAACTAACTTGTTTTTATTTGACTATTTTTCTGTCCTGTCTGTTTATTATCTTCCTGCATCTCCTCTCAATCCTAAAGAGAAACTGCTACCTGGGTTCATATATATTCACCTTATGAGTTACCTTTGAACTGCAGCTCTAAAAGATCTACCGACCGCAAAAACAGCGGAGTGCTCGCTGCTTGCCGGCCGCATGAGTGATCGGTGCGCCCCGCTCCACAGCGAAACGCATCAGGCGCAAATAAAAGACAGAAAACATCAAAGGAAATGAACTGACATGAACGATCGCGTGTTAAATAATTTGGCAACACCTGATTGTTACTGTGGCCGTGCTCAGGAGGCAGATTACCGACAGCAAAAACAGCGGAATGCTTGCTGCTTGCCGGCCGCATCAGTGATCAGTGCGTCGGAGGACAAGGTGATGTGCCCCGCTCCACAGCAGCGAAACACATCAGGCGCAAATAAAAGACAGAAAACATTAAAGGAAATGAACTGACATGAACGATCGCCCCCGTACTTGCTTGTTACCACATTCCACCCGGCCACAAGAAGAGACCGGCCATTATTCACCTCCGCCAACTCCGATACCGGCCAAAATTGGAGACCCGGCCTTTAATTGAATACTGGCCTGTATTTGAGGATTTATGGTATTTGGTCAATAACAAAAAATCAACTCAATACTTTGTAACATAACCTTTGTTGGCAATAACAGAGGTCAAACGATTATTATAGGTCTTTACCAGGTTTGCACACACAGTAGCTGGTATTTTGGCCCATTCCTCCATGCAGATCTTCTCGAGAGCAGTGATGTTTTCGGGCTGTCGCCGAGCAACACGGACTTTCAACTCCCTCCACAGATTTTCTATGGGGTTGAGGTCTGGAGACTGGCTAGGCCACTCCACGACTTTCAAATGCTTCTTACGGAGCCACTCCTTTGTTGCCCGGGCGGTGTGTTTGGGATCATTGTCGTGTTGGAAGACCCAGCCACGTTTCATCTTCAAAGCTCTCACTGATGGAAGGAGGTTTTGGCTCAGAATCTCACGATACATGGCCCCATTCATTCTGTCCTTAACATGGATCAGTCGTCCTGACCCCTTAGCAGAAAAACAGCCCCAAAGCATGATGTTCCCACCCCCATGCTTCACAGTAGGTATGGTGTTCTTGGGATGCAACTCAGTATTCTTCTTCCTCCAAACACGACGAGTTGAGTTTATACCAAAAAGTTCAACTTTGGTTTCATCTGACCACATGACATTCTCCCAATCCTCTGCTGTATCATCCATGTGCTCTCTGGCAAGCTTCAGACGGGCCTGGACATGCACTGGCTTCAGCAGCGGAACACGTCTGGCACTGCAGGATTTGATTCCCTGCCATTGTAGTGTGTTACTGATGGTGACCTTTGTTACTGTGGTCCCAGCTCTCTGCAGGTCATTCACCAGGTCCCCCCATGTGGTTCTGGGATTCTTGCTCACCGTTCTCATGATCATTTTGACCCCACGGGATGAGATCTTGCGTGGAGCCCCAGATCGAGGGAGATTATCAGTGGTCTTGTATGTCTTCCGTTTTCTGATAATTGCTCCCACAGTTGATTTTTTCACACCAAGCTGCTTGCCTATTGTAGATTCACTCTTCCCAGTCTGGTGCAGGTCTACAATTCTTTTCCTGGTGTCCTTCGAAAGCTCTTTGGTCTTGGCCATAGTGGAGTTTGGAGTCTGACTGTTTGAGGCTGTGGACAGGTGTCTTTTATACAGATAATGAGTTCAAACAGGTGCCATTAATACAGGTAACGAGTGTAGGACAGAAAAGCTTCTTAAAGAAGACGTTACAGGTCTGTGAGAGCCAGAGATTTTCCTTGTTTGAAGTGACCAAATACTTATTTTCCACCTGATTTACAAATAAATTCTTTAAAAATCCTGCCATGTGAATTCATGGATTTTTTTTCACATTCTGTCTCTCACAGTTGAAGTGTACCTATGATGAAAATTACTGAACTCTGTCATCATTTTAAGTGGGAGAACTTGCACAATCGGTGTCTGACTAAATACTTTTTTGCCCCACTGTATATATATATATATATATATATATATATATATATATATATATATATATACATATACATATATATGTATATATATATATATTAGGGCTGCAACAAACGATTATTTGGATAATCGATTAATCGGATGGGGTCTCGACACGATTAATCGATTAATCGGATTACATGGGGAAATTTTTAAAAACTGCTAGGGAAACGTTATTTCTCTCCTTCCTTCACTTTATTTAACACAACATTATTAGAAAACAGTTCAATAGCAGAAAAACAACATGCCATCACCTAAATTGTCTTATAAGGTGTATAGACAGAGACCCTAAGCTACATCTATCTGTGACCTAAAATGCTTGGTCCAAGTTAAACAGCTTAAGGGCAATTCTCATCTGTTTTGTTTGATCTCATCTGTTGACATTTATTTTAAATGTAATTAAACATAGGCTGTGAATTAATCAAATTTGATCACTATTTCCAAAAATGACTGAAAAAATACCAAATAAAACAAAAGTAAATGAATGCCATTCTCCTTGCGATGATGCCCTGGGCAACTGCCATAAAGTCACATCAAGAAATGCTGCTGATCATTCCAATGATCCCAAATAGACTCACATTAGGCCACATGAAAGCAACTGAACCCAAAAATATATTAACCAGTATATAACTGCACTCTCACACAACACGCCTGCAGCAACAGTTGGGACTCCTCCCTCCCTTTTAAAAGCGTTTTTGCTTCCGAGGACATTGTGGTTGTAAAACCACATGCTAGTAGTCTGGCCCCGGTGTGATCAACCAGTTTCTGCGGGAATATGACGGCGGAACCAGGGCCAGATCAAGGGCTCCATCATCACGACCCAAGGATCACCATAATGTGGTCACATACAGAATATTTTACTGTAATATGCAGTAAATATACTCAATACTTGAATGCCTGACAACACGTAACCCGCCCAGAGTAACCTTTGACCCACCTCGTGTGGACTGACCAATGAGGAGAGGGTCTTAACTTGAGGCCCTCTCTTCATTGGTCAGTCTGCATGAGACTGACTCTCAACTGACGTTCAGTCATAGGCAGCGAAGCGTCTCTGTGCAGCGCAAAAGCCCGGGTGGACAGTTTGTTTAATGTAGGGTGACCATATTTCCATTTCCAAACAAGAGGACAGGGGATCTGTGCCTATGACGTCACACTATGGCAACGCCACACAAACCATGTTGGGACCCATTTTTTGTAAGAACTAAATTAATATCAGATTCTGCCAATAAAAGGGCTCTAAAACATTTCATATGTAAATATTTTGCATATTTAATGCAAAATCTCATTTTTATGCTTTAGTGCTGCAACAAGGTTTTATTAATAATAAATTATTATACCTTTTGTTTTACTACAGCATCGGTACGCTTCCTGTGCACAGATTATTAAGGATGCTTGTTTCAGCTGTGAGATTAGACGATAGGATCAATGATAAAATAAGTTGTCACACACTCCATGGAAACTTTCAGATAATCCACAAATAGTGGCTTTCAAATGGTTTTGTTACTTTTTGCAAGTTTAGAAAAGCAGCAGATGAGACAGCATGTCTGATAATTTAGTTTTTCATCTGATATATTAGAACATGTCAGTAATGTCTGAGGGGCTTTTACAAACACTGTATAACTAACACTACTGGAGAGGGTATGAATTACACAGAGGCTTCTGGGGAGCCCAGTTATGGGGGGGGGATTTTGCCTTGGCCCCCAAAATGTCTTGAAACGGCCCTGGGTGTGTGACTGAGTTTTGAAGGTGATCTGAATTGTATCAGATGTATAACTATGACATGTGTATAACTTATTGTTTTTTACTGGTAAAAACGTGTCGTGGTGATAAATCTACCTACATTTAACTTTGTTTTCTTGTTTTTATTTAACTATTTTCCTGTCCTGTCTGTCTCTCATCTTCCTGCATCTCCTCATAATTCTCCAGAAAATCTGTTGCCTGGATTCTTACTTTTTCACCTCATCAGTTACTTTTAAACAGATCAAAGGGATCTCCTGACCGCAAAGCGCAGAGCGCGTTTTCGATGCTGCGTGAGGTGAAATCACCACAGCACAGGTGATGAGTTCCGCAGTAGCGCGCTTCAGGCACAAATAAGACAGAAAATAGAGAACATGTGCAGACAAGAACGATCGTGTGCTAATTATAGTTTTTTGGTTGCGCCACTTTGAGAATGGACCGTGCGCTGGAAGCAGCTGCCTGGATCGCTGTGCAACAATGCGGAACCGGTTCGCAGCAGCGCAAGTCTGCCGGCTCTCCCTCGCGCTGATCTGCGGCTCTCCCTCGCGCTGATCTGACTTGCTCTGGTCTGCGCGCAACGGTGGGCGGGAAGGGGGGGGGGCGCTTTTGGAAGAGTTGTGCGACACAACGAATCGATGACGCAATTCGTTGCCAACGCTTTTAGTAATCGATTTTCATTGAATTCATCGATTCGTTGTTGCAGCCCTAATATATATATACATATATATACATATACATATATATGTATATATATACATATACATGTATATATATATATACATATATATATATGTATATTTATATATATACGTGTATATATATATATACATATATATATGTATATATGTATGTATATACACATATATATATGTATGTATATACACACATATATATATATATATATATATATATATATATGTGTGTATATACATACATATATATATATATATATGTATGTATATACATACATATATATATATATATATGTATGTATATACACACATATATATATATATATATATATATATATATGTGTGTATATACATACATATATATATATATATGTATGTATATACACACATATATATATATATATATATATATATATATATATATGTGTGTATATACATACATATATATATATATATATATATATATATATATGTATATGTATATCCCCTATATAATTGCTTCCTGATTACGTGACGTGTGATGTACGCGGATGAAGATCAGCTTTAGAGCTGAGATGTTTGTTCTCACGGTGCGGGGGCTCGTTCCGACGCCCACACAGTTAAAAATGCAAATGACAACTTTAGTCATCATTGGCAGTGAATGAGTTAAAGGTTAATGTTTAACAGCTGGCCAGGGAATGCCTTGGGATTCCCCCGGAGGAGCTGGTCCAAGTGGCTGGTGAGAGGGACATCTGAGCCCTCTCAGACTTCCTCCTGTGTAGGCTGCTGCCCACAACCCGGCTCCAGATAAGCGGAAGAGATTGGATGGATAGAGTTACGGGTCAGATTCGATGATCGTTTATGCCACCAACCTCTTAGACGTGCCCGTGTCCTTGTCTATGGCGACTCTCGCACCGACTGCTCCTTCAAAAACACTTTGAAGTGTTTCCGCTGACGTCGTTGCGGCAAGGCCGACCACAAACAAGGTCTTAGATGAGACTATATGGGAAACAAACCTTCAGTCAAACTGTAAACAAACCCATTTATATGGAAACACTTCATGATATCAAACTGAATGACAAAAACCTTCAGGCTTTCTCCTTCTGTGGCGCATTTCTACTCTAACAGCCTGTTTGCTGATCTTGACATCTTTGGACGATTGTAAAGCCTTTTCAGCGTCCGCCACCGTGAGAAACTCCACAAATGCATATCTGTAGGGGAAGAGCTGGTGAGAGGTTTCAGACATTTTTACTGGTTTAACAACATAAATCAAGTACTCAGACTCACCGTGTCTGCTTGTCTTTAACCTTTAGACTGATGCCAACTGCTTTCTTAAAGACTTTCTTCAGTTGTTTTTCTGTCACACTTTTAGGTAAACGGCTCACAAATAAAGTGTTGCCAGCAGGAGCAGCTGCAAGAATCAAAATGGCACCGCTAGAATAGGAACAAGAGTAAACTCTGTCTTCCTGCAGCTGAAGTGCAGATCCTCACCTTGTGTGCTGCTGCTGTCAGCTTCAGCAGCAGGAGCTCCTCGTTCTCCAACACGGTCCACAACCAGATCCCGACCCTGGAACTTTATGTGTTGTTTTTTCTTCAGCACTTTGGTAGCAATGGTTTGGTTTTGGAACTGCACAAAAGCAATGCTGCAGAAAAATAACAGACCTAGTTAGATGACGCGCCACGCTTAAACGTGTCACTAAACTTAAGAAGTTCTTTCTAACTCTCACCCCCGGCTCGGATTATTGGTTCCACCAGGAAACCGAACAGCGATCGCTTTTCTGAAGACTTTCAGGATGTCTTGTTTTGTTGTGTTGTATGGAAGGTTCTTCAGGAACAAGCATCGGCCATCTTTGACTAAGAAACACCAAAAAGTTCTCACATCATGTTGGCTGAATGTCTTATCCTAAAGTAGAAGAAGCTTCAAAGGTACAGAGATTAGGCTTGGGTGGTATCCAAATTTTGATACTGTTAAACTTCCTCCACATTTTTTCACGGCATACGGCATTACTGTTACTAATCCAAAATTATGTCTTGTGACATTACCTTCACCGTTCAGAAACGGAACCTCAAGTAAGAAAGTAAGTAAGTAAAAGTTTATTTATAGAGCGCCTTTCACAGATATAAATCACAAAGCGCTGTACAACATGATAAAGATCAGGGCAAATACCTCAAACCAATAAAAACATCAGAAAAACAATAGCAGTGACAAAATAGAAAATAAAATCATGAGTATAAACAAAGTGAAGGTGTGAACCCGAACAAAGCCATCATTCTGAAACATTTAGGGAGGGAACGCCTGGATGAAAAGGTGAGTTTATAGATGATTTTTAAAGACCTCTACAGTGTTAGAGACGGAGATTTGAAGGTAGACTGGTCCAAAGTCTGGGTGCAATAGTCTGAAAGGCCCTGTCCCCTTTGGTTTTCAGTCTGGTTCGAGGAACAGCCAGGAGGTTTTCAGATGTGGATCTAAGGTTCCGAGAGGTGGTGTGTTGGGATAAAAGCTCAGATAGGTAGCTTGGAGCCTGGTTGTTAAGAGCTCTATAGGTCAGGACTAAAACTTTAAACTGTATTCTGTATTCTACCGGGAGCCAGTGGAGGGACTGTAAAACTGGAGTGATGTGAGCTCGTCTGCTGGATTTGGTTAGGAGTCTGGCTGCTGCATTTTGGATGGCTTGAAGGCGTGAGAGGGAGGTTTTGCTGAGACCAGTAAAAAGAGCGTTACAGTAGTCTAAGCGTGATGACACAAAGGCATGGATGATTTTTTCCAGATCTGCAGTAGAAACCAGTTTACAGACTTTTGAAATGTTTCTCAGTTGGAAGAAACAAGAGCGGGAGATGGTTTTTACGTGTGAGTCTAAACTTAAAGCTGGATCAAAAATAACTCCCAGGTTTCTAATGTTGGCCTTGGCTGATGGGCAAAAAGAGGCAATTTCCTGCTCGATTTTTGGCTGAAGTTCCGGGGGTGCAGCGATCAGGGTCTCTGTCTTGTTGGCATTGAGGACAAGAAAGTTGCTGGACAGCCAGTTACTGATCTGGGTCAGGCAGAGTACAAGTGTGGCCAGCCTGTCCAACTGGTGTGGCATAAAGGACATAGAGAGCTGAATATCATCAGCGTAGGTGTGGTAGGAGATGTCTGGGAAAGACTGAATGATGCCAGCTAGGGGAAGAGTATAGAATGCGAATAGTAGAGGCCCTAGAACTGAACCTTGTGGGACCCCGCATGTTGGAGAGACAGTATCTGAAGAGAAGGTTTCGGACTTCACTGTGAATGTTCTGTTGGTGAGATAAGAAGAGAGCCAGTCTAGAGCAGAACCTGAAATCCCAGCCTCTATTATCTCAAGCACTATTACTGAAAAAACAACGTACATAAAACGCAGATTATTACAAAAAATTTCTCTGGAAAAAACTGCCTTTTTACTTTTCCTGTTTAAACGTTATGAACCAACAACTTTCCCTGCAGTGCTGAAAACCTGCTCCGACGGTGAACTTGTGGCACAGGTATGCAGGTTTTTGGGATATGCAGGAACGGGCGTTATTGCAAGTGTGTGTGTACGTGTAACCAGTTTGCCCCGCTTGTTGATCACAGGAACGGCGCTGCTGCTGCTGCTGTGTATTTGTTTGTATTCACGTTTATCCTTTCTTTGCTGTAAAAACTGCATTTAAAAGTTATGGAAACGCTGTGTTTCTCCGCTATATGTGTGCGTTTGTTCAGTTTCATCTCTCTAGTCTGTTTAGATACACAGAAATGATCTCATTTATCAATCGCAGTGTTTTATTTTGAAAATGTTCTCTTTGTTTTGTTGAATTTACCGGCCTGCCTCTTCTGCTTTGGTTTGACTTCCTGCCAGAATTGACATGGCTCACGAAAAAATAGAACTCACGCCGAAACGATCGCTGCACGGCGCGAGCCTTCATGGCGCGAGCCTTCATGGCGCTTCGCGGCTGATGTGACTGAGAGCGTAGGTTAACAAGGGCGCCGATTAGAAGCGCTAGTCGTTCCGCGGCGCGTCGTCGCGCTTCCGCCTCTGGTGTGTTCCGGGCGTAATTCCACCAGAAAATTGACTTGAATAACAGGCTTCAAAATAGGCTGTTGTTTCATCTCCGGAGCGTTTCTCTGTGGTGCGGACGGGACCTGCGCCGCGTTGTCACCTTTGTTATTGCACAGGGAACACTCACTGACGAGGAAACGCCAATCGACACAACACCGGCTCTCTTTTACCATTTGCTTGAAACCTGAAAATACTTCCTAACTACGGAAGTTCTTTTTTTGTCACCAAGTCGGTTAATTCGCGACCGGCCATCTTTCTCTCCGTCTCTCTCTTGGTGGGTCTCTCTGTTCTCCACGCTGTCGGATGATGACGTCATTCATAAACTTTATGGAATGTCTCCGAAGGTTGGCCATAACATATTAAACTATCTAAATAAAAATAAAAATTCAACCATACATCCGTTTAACAGCCACACAGCAGTAGCTCAGGATGTAGAGCGGGCTGTCCAGTTTTCAGAAGGTTGCCCAATTTTCAGAAGGTTGCAAGTTCAACGCCGACTCTGAACGCTGCTGTTGTGTCTTTGGACAAGACACTTACTCCACCTTGCCTGTTGGTGGTGGTCGGGGGAACCGGGGCGCCAGTGTTTGGCAGGCCTTGCCTCTGTGAGTGCGCCCCAGGGCAGTTGTGGCTACATTGTAGCTCATCATCACCAGTGTGTGAACGGATGAATGAATTGTGTTGTGACACGCCTTGGGGGGTTGTAGAACCCTGAATGGCTCTATACAAATACAGGCCATTTACACGTTAAACGACTGCAGAACAAAATCCTGGTCATATAGGGAGCCTAACCCCTACCTCACACTGGAAGCATCAACGACATGCTTCAAATAGAACCCATGATATTAGACTATAATGGACTATATTTGAAGCTGTGACGTTCCACGTGATAGGTGTGATTCAAACCAGCCGCGGTGCGAAATTTGTCAGGTGCATCCCAGAAGTGGCTCGTCTAAGACAACGTTAGCTTGATATGTTAACTTCCATTTAGCTAATGGTGCATTTGCTTTCTCCTTGGAACTCCGAAATTCTGACTAGAAGAAAGCGAACGCGCTCTAAAGTTTGGCTTCACATCACTAAATGAGATGGACTGTTGGGTGATGATGAAACCAGCGACAACGATCCGAGTATGAGGCATCTTAATCTGCTTCAGCAGCTAAATAAACTGTATAAGATAACGTTAGCTTGATAGTTTAGTTTATGTTTACATAGCTAATGGTGCGTTCGCTTTTCTCCTCGGAAATTCCAGCTTCTGAGTAGGAAAAATAAACTGTTTCAAATGAACGGCAAAAGGAATGAAGATACACAGTAAATTTAGTTCACAGCAAAGATGTTTGCTTCAGTGTAATTAGGACCCACCATCAGTGTTGCCAACTCAGCGACTTTGTCGCTGTTCCTAACGACTTTTTCACCCCCCTCAACGACTTTTTTCCAAAAAGCGCCTAGCAACAAACCTAGCGACATTTCTCAGGACCCGTTGCAACTTTCTGTAGAACTTTCTTGTAGATATTCCACACAGATTAGCAACAAAAACCATTTGCACTCTGAACCGTTCTTCCGGGAGTAAGGAAAGAGAACGATAATCTGCACATGTGCACGAAGACTGACCAATTTAGGGATGGGTACCAAATTCGGTACTTTTTAAGGTACCGACCGAGCACCGATTCACGTCATTTGAAACGGTGCCTCGTTTCGGTACCCGTCCATAATAACGAGAACTTGCCTAGACAGCTGCGCATGCGCAAGAGCGTTATGTCGTTGGTCGCTGCGAGCGAGTTGTAACCAGAGCAGCATGGTAGAAAGAACGCACGCTAAAGCTTGGGTCCGCTTCACTAAATGTGATGGGTAACTGGGTGATGATGAAACCAGCGACAATGATCTAAGTGAGACATCCTCATCTTAATCTGCTCCGGTAGGTAAATAAAATTAGCTTGATATGTTTGTTTCCGTTTCGCTAATGGTGTGTTCGTTTTCTCCTCGGAACTCCGAATTCCCGACTAGAAGAACATGAACGCGCTCTAAAGTTTGGCTTCACTTTACTAAATGCGACGGGTGATTGGGTGAAGATGAAACCAGCGACAACGATCAAAGTGTGAGGCATCATCGTTTTAATCTGCTCCAGCAGCTAAATAAACTGTTTAAGATAACGTTAGCTTGATATGTTAGCTTCCATTGCCACCATTGTTATCATCTAATGGTGCGTTCGCTTTCTCCTCGGAAATTCTAACTTCCCAGTAGGAAAAATCAAAGAAAAAGGACGGCAAAAGGAATGAAGATACACAGTAAATTTAGTTCACAGTAAAGATGTTTGCTTCAGTTTAATTATCAGCTTATAAAACTACAAGGACAATGTTAAAATACAAACAGTTGTATGTTATTTATCGTGATATTTATCAAATATGGTTATACATTGAGAAAAATATATATTTAATTATAAAAGAGAATTAAAATAATAAACACTCAAAAGTATCTAAAATTGGTACCTTTAAGTACCGGTATCGATTCCTACGTACCGGGAATTAGTACCGAATCGATTCAAATGTCAAAGATACCCATCCCTACCAATCATAAACCGTTTTCAGCCGGGCTGATTCGCCGAAGACAAAGGTGCAGCTGCAGAGCTGGAGACCGCTAATTTACATCTGCTGCTGCAGGCTCACGCTTCTACTAGAGACGGCACAGGCGTCAACCTGCGATCTCTGGTTCTGCAGCCGTCAGACACTTTGGCTTTTCCTGCATTTGGCAAATAAAGTCAACGGGAGTTTCAACGACCGTCCCGTTTACACACGCAGCTCTGTGGCTCATCTGGATTTCCTTCAGTGACCCAGGGATGGTTATACCATGAGACACCCGCTCCCTGTTGCTCGGTGCGCCGTTATTATCACGATGGAGAGAATACACAACAGAGAAGTAGAAAAACCAGGAGGTGTAAAAAAACAGCTTTTTAGGAAAACTTCTGTGAGAATGAGAGCAGGAGGTCTGAGTTATGCTATGGGGAAAATGAACGCCAATGTGGCGTGATGACATCATCAATATGTAAATTAGCACGTGGCGTCATCTGGCGACATCTAGCGACTTTTGGGGGAACTTCAGCTACTTTCAGTCAAAAACAGTTGGCAACACTGTCTACCATCACACAGTTTATAGAACTACAAGGACCCACCATCACACAGTTTATAAAACTACAAGGACCCACCATCACACAGTTTATAGAACTACAAGGACCCACCATCACACAGTTTATAAAACTACAAGGACCCACCATCACAGTTTATAGAACTACAAGGACCCACCATCACAGTTTATAAAACTACAAGGACCCACCATCACAGTTTATAAAACTACAAGGACCCACCATCACACAGTTTATAAAACTACAAGGACCCACCATCACACAGTTTATAAAACTACAAGGACCCACCATCACACAGTTTATAAAACTACAAGGACCCACCATCACAGTTTATAAAACTACAAGGACCCACCATCACAGTTTATAAAACTACAAGGACCCACCATCACAGTTTATAGAACTACAAGGACCCACCATCACAGTTTATAAAACTACAAGGACCCACCATCACAGTTTATAAAACTACAAGGACCCACCATCACACAGTTTATAAAACTACAAGGACCCACCATCACACAGTTTATAAAACTACAAGGACCCACCATCACACAGTTTATAAAACTACAAGGACCCACCATCACACAGTTTATAAAACTACAAGGACCCACCATCACACAGTTTATAAAACTACAAGGACCCACCATCACACAGTTAATAAAACTACAAGGACCCACCATCACAGTTTATAAAACTACAAGGACCCACCATCACACAGTTTATAGAACTACAAGGACCCACCATCACACAGTTTATAAAACTACAAGGACCCACCATCACTACAAGGACCCACCATCATAGTTTATAAAACTACAAGGACCCACCATCACAGTTTGTCCAGAGGAGGAGGAGTACATGGAGCTGGTTTAGTTAGTGAAACACACAAAATATTAAAATACACACTGTTGTATGGTGTAGAAGCTTGCTTTAGTTTCATTAGTAGTTTATAACACATAGTTATTCTAGAGGGCATAGAAGAGGATCAGGAGTCCATGGAGCTGGGTTTGTTTGTCGTTAAAGGTTTTCATATTGAAGAATTTCGTACAACACTAAGCTGATAAAATATAAACTGTTGTATGTTATTATTATATTCATCAAATTTGGTGAAATGTTTGGAAAATATTATATATGTAATTTTAAAAGGGCGATTTAAATCATTATTGAACACTCAAATGTATTGAAAATTGGTTTTGTTAAGTACCGGTATTGATTCGTAGGTACCGGGAATTAGTACCAGATCGATTCAAATGTCAAAGGTACCCATCCCTAGATAAAGCACTTTCCGGTTACTTCAGCGATGCATCAAAGTACTGTACATCAAAATATTAAAACTTAACATATTGAGCAACAACCTTTAGGAGGAAAAACATTTTTTTACCTTTTCTCCTTAGTTCAGGACTTTTAAAATTTTCTTTCTTGTCACTTCTAACTTTTGCTTGGGCGAGCTTCACGGGCATATCAAGTATTGTCTCCCCGTTTAACGTCAGAGCTTTGGTCAGGTCCATTTTTGAGCTCATGTCCACAAATGCGTGTTTTCTACAAGAGCAGAAAAAAAGTTCAATCGTCTGAATTTACAGCGCCTTGGGCTTCCCGACAGGGTCGCTCGCGGAAGGCACTTTATAAATAAAGCTTTGATTTGATTTACAGAAACATTAAGGAAGCAGAGAGCCACACTCACCGGTACCGGTCTATTCGGATGTCGTGAAACAGAAGACCATTTGTCACAAAGTAGTTTGCTATTGAATCTTTGAGTTCCTGTGAATTTTTAGACCGGTTCAGGTTGCCCACATAAAGACAAAAACCTGGGGGGAAAAAAAATTAAAAAACAATTAAAATGTGTGAAGACAGTCCTTCAGACAACTTAAACAACAGAGACGTTTCTACTTGTTGTAGGATAAATTCCTACCATCGTTGAGGAGTTTAGTTTTCTTTGAAGGGGAACGCTCAGCGGCAGGGTCAGCTTCGGGGATTTTTAAAGCTGAAACAATTCATTGAGAAGCTAAAATCAGAAGTTTTTATTGCCATATGTGTGCCAAGTCACAACATTAGGAAATTGCTGCGGTATTCTGGTGCAGAAGGTAAGATAGAAAAAAAAAAAAATTAAGAGATAAGCAAATATAAGAACTAATAAAACACTCATGATAAAATTATTAATGTAAAAAGTGGCAAGAATTAGAGAAGCAGCCATCTACTCCGTGTAGGTATTAATCTGAGTGTTTGTTGAATGGTTCAAGCACAGCATCGGGTCACGTGACTGGGACCAATCGATTTGAGTGGGCTGCCCTAGGATGTTCATTCAAAAGCTAAAATCACTCAATTATTTAAAAGAAACACTTGAGGAGGAAATCTTAGATAGGTTTCGTTAAAGTCGTGTGACAATCCTGCTCAGGATCACAGTTTTCATAGACAGTTATTACTGTTGAACAGCATGAAGAGTGTGTGCTGGAATGAAATGAGAGAGAGAGACAATCAGACATGAGACAAAAACAGATCTGTTTCTGATTTAATCTGAACGCCTCAGAAAGAAAACCAGTCCCCATGATAAGACCAGCCCTGAACGTGTAAACTCTAAGTTTGGTTAAAAAAAATAAATAAATAACAATCATCCTCACATCTTATTCCAGGAAACACCTGTGCATGATCTGGCGATTACTGTAAAATGTTCTGAAAATTCATTTTTAATATATATAAGTAACAACTGAATCAGTTTTTAGTGGCGTGCCAAACAGCATATGAGCAGCTTTTCCAGTACAAACATCTGTTTGAGTACCTGCAAGCTGCAATAGGACTGCCTACCTTGCTCCAGTTCCCCTTTGGCAGTCTGGTCTGCGTCACCACACACCTCCTCATCCTCCCACGACACACTGACAGTAGGCATCTTTCTCTTCACTTGGATGGAGCCGCTCATCTGAGGATCTAAACAGAATGTTTTATCACTGATACAAGTCAGCATGTACTGTTTACACTAGGGTGTGTTTCCCAGCACGTGCTTCGGCTCGTGCTGTCTCGGGATGCTCTTATAAAATTGTAGAAACTGATGTTTCTTTATTAACTAAAATCGATGTTTATTTTATGTGTATATACAATTAATGTACAAGACTTGCCCGCAGCTGTGTCCTCGCCGTCCACATTGGGGGTTTTATTGTTTTCTCCACGCTTTGCTCTCTGAAATTAAGAACGTTCAAGATTACGTCCAGAAAATAGTCTTGATAATGTGCCGTACCATTCGGAACACGGTGTCAGAAACACTGATAACTCATATTACACAGGCGTGTCACCGTTACACCACGAAACGGCTACATCACACCAAACTGGTTAAGCTGTAACCTAAGCCACGTTAACAGCTCGTCGTTTTTAGCTGACGCTAACAGGTAGCTTGCTGGTTTACAGCGACAAAAACACGTAATTTCATTTATTCACTCAGACCGCTCCAAAGCTCTTTGTTAAAAACATATTATACACTCATTCTTACACTTCTCCTCGCCATTTATTCTCTAACAGCGCACGGAATAGCAATAATAGTCGCACGTGTGTGGTAACAGTCCCAAATATCCGGTATCCAATGCGCATGCGTGCAGCGTAGTACGGATGCCTACAGGACAGGGAGGAACGCGATTAGCCCGCTCGCCTTTCTAAGCCCCTCTTCACAGGTACAGCTGTTGGCGTTATGAACTAAAACCGGGCGAATGTTTGTTTTAAAACAAGTGTGTTGTTTGTACGCTAATTACCGCTCAAATATCAAGTTATACGACTTAGCCGCGAAACCTTTAGCTTAACTTTACTTGAAACTGACTAGCTCGATATTCTTGTTTCTGTCAGCGTCTCTCTGTTGATTGTTTGACTTGAATGGCTCCGGTTTGTCGCTAACACGGAGTTAAACTTTGGCCTCAGATACAAACTAGCTGAATGTTTGCTTGAACAGGTTGAACTGGACGTTCAAGACGCCAAAGTCCAGGGTGGCAGCCCCAGCATGGAGCAAGCCCGGTGAGCGAACTCCCGTGGAGGAGCCGGGATTCGTCTGAGGAGCTTCTGTTTGTCCAGCTCACAATGGGCAGTCGGAGGAATGGCTTCATGAATGAACGCTTTATGCTGTCCGTGGATGTGGGAACGACATCCATCAGATGTCACGTCTATGACAAGCAGGCAAACATCCGAGGATCATGCACCAGCAGGGTAATGCCAGCACCACCTTGTTTCATTAGAGATGCACCCATTCTGGGTTTGAGGGCTGGTGTTGATGTCTGATTCTCCTGCATCGCTGGCTTGCTGCTATTAACGATTTTAGTGATTCCTGTTTATCTCAAATGACCATAATTAACACACCAGTCATACATTTCTGAACAAAGCTGAAGTTGGTTCCTTATTTAGAGTTTTTATTTTGAAATTCTTTGACTCCCTGAGCATTTTTTGTGTGCTTTCATTATAGAGCTACAACACCTAGTCTCGTCAAGCGTGGACCAGATCAGTGTTTCCCGACCCCGAGCCTCAGGGGACACTGACCTGCGTGGCTTCCATGTCTCTGCTTCAGCACACCTGATTTAAATGGCCTCCTCAGGAGGACATCAAGTGTTGCAGATGCCTGTTAATCAGTCCTCTGGCAGGTTAATGTCAAAGGAGATAAAACAGACAACAATATACAATTAGATGAAACAATAAAACAGAACAGTTAGGATAAGGTTGTACAAAAAACAAAAATAAAAACAAATCAAATGTCATATATGATTGCATATTTGAGCTTCCAGTAGCCACACTTTTCTTTTGAAAGTAGCAAAACTTGAGCTTTCCTTCACTGGAGTAGGAATGCTGTTCCAGATAGTTGAGCCCTGGAGTGGAGGAGCTCACAGTCACCAAGTCTACCTGTAGCTCGAGTTACTCTGGAAGAGTGGTGCTTTTACAAGACACACCATGCTGGCAAATCGGCGTAATATTACTGCAATGGTATGTCTCATGGTATGCCAGCATGGTGTTGCACGAATTTTGCGGCATTCGTTCCGCCTCGCTTGGTAGTAATATTGCGGTAATGGTCTGTCGTATGCGCCCTGGCACATCAGAGGCAGATGTCATGATGACGTGGGGAGTTGTTGCTGAGCTCCGGCTGGCAAATGTATTGAAAATGAAAGTAAACACGGGCAATAAGGTTTGCTTTTTGAACAAAATCAGCTGAGATGACAGACTGGAGCGCCGCAGAGCTCCACGAGCCTCTCTGTTAGAGCTGGAGCTCAGATCACCAGAGACTGCACAGGGACCGATGGGGACAGACGCCTTTAGGAGCTGCTTGTTAAAAAAACCTAACGATCACGGCTTCAATCGCAGTAAAAAGCAAGTTATGTCCAAGATAAACGGAAGTCTGCGGCAGCGCAGAGTCCGCCCCCACACCCCCTTTATGCCGCCATCACCTAATCTTTTATAAAATTGCCGCTATTGCGCCAAATTACCGCCTCGATCTTATAAACGACCTTTATCCTCCCAGGGAGCCGCGGCAAATCCCGTTTTGCAAACGCTCTGGTCCTGTAAAGACACCTGTGATTTTTGAATAATAAAATCCATCAACGGGGGAGGGGCTACTACACCATGAATAACTTTATAGAGCAGGCAAGCAGATTTAAAATGTTGAAAAGCTAGTAGCATAGTTAGCATAGCATAGTTTATTTATATAGCACATTTAAAATGCAGCATGGGAGCTGCCCAAAGTGCTGCACAGGCTAAAACAAAACACACCCATTACAAGGAGCTAAAACAAAGGATAAAAATCTCAATTAAAAGCAGAGAAAACATGAATACTAAGAACACATTAAAACAATGACACAATAAAACACTAAAACGAGTCACTGTCTAAAAGCCAAAGTGTAAAAGTGGGTCTTTAAACGAGATTTAAAAACCGCCAGAGATGGAGCCTGCCGAACTCCAATGGGCAGTGAGTTCCATAGCTTTGGGGCAGCATGGACAAATGCTCGTTCACCCCGCGATTTGAGTCTCATCCGCGGCGTGTACAGCAACAAAAGGTCAGCCGACCTCAACGAGCGGGTGGGCACATATGGAGTGAGAAGGGCAGAGAGGTAGGAAGGTGCCAGGTCATTGAGTGCTTTAAAAACAAAAGTCAGTAACTTAAACTGCACTCTGAAAAAGACAGGGAGCCAGTGAAGATGTGCCAGGACAGGGGTAATGTGGCTACTTCGGTGTGTACCTGTCAAGAACCTGGCAGCAGCGTTCTGAACAACCTGCAGCCGATTCAGGGCAGAGTCCGGAACACCAATGAGGAGGGCGTTTGCATAGTCCAGGCGAGAGGTAATGAATGCATGAATGACTGACTCCAAATGCCTCCGTTTCAGGATTTGTCTGAGGTGAGTAAGGCGGCGAAGCTAGAGTATATTTACCCAGAATCGAGCAGTGATGATGCTTCATTGGCCTCTTGTCCAGAATTTTCACTGGCAGGACTCAACAGGTCTGATAACCGATGAGGCGGTAAACGGCCAGCTGGTGACGCAATAGCCAACGTGAGACAGTGTAAAAATGTGCCTGCTGCTTTACGCTCTTTTATGTTTACAATTGTACAAGTTGTAATTTACAGTTTAGACAATATTTTGCACGTTTTCTAAAAGATGATGTTGAATCCAGCCACACTCGGAGGTATTTCTCCTCCTTTCAGAAACACCCGTGCTGGTGTCAGTCTTGATGCTGGCGTGGAGAAGAGCATGCACACTGTGTTGTTGATGAGCATTTTAATATTAATAGAAAACATGTTTACGATTCCATATAGCAGCTTTTTGAGGAGAAAGCAAATCTTAACATTAAATAGCTCTTCTAAACCTAGACGTGTGTGTGTGTGTGTGTGTGTGTGTGTGTGTGTGTGTGTGTGTGTGTGTGTGTGTGTGTGTGTGGATATGAAACGGTTGTTGTTAAAGGCTTAAATTGATATATTTAATGTTAAAATGTCTGTGGTACAAAATAGCTTTTCAATAACATTTAACATTACACTTCAGCACTTTATTGTTTTATCGTGGGTCAGAGAGAAAACAGCACATACTTTACAATCCCCGTCGACGTCGAGAGCGAATCTACACCAATGGGCGCAGCTCAAAAACTAGACAGTAGTCTGGGATGCAGTAAAACTACAATAGTCTAGGTGTTGTAGTTCTATAATTCAAGCAGATCAAGGATGCTCAGGGAGCTGAAGAGTTGGTTGGAATTGCCCTTCAGGAAATTCCAGAATCTGAAGCCTTAAAATAAAATAACATTAGCTTTGCCGTTTCCCTGGTTACCCTAAACTGTAGCTGTGGGTGTATAAACCTCCACAAGGAGGCTGTGTGAGTTAGCCCCTCTACAGACCTCAAACAGTGTCAGGTGTTTTTCTAGCTGCCCTGCTCTGATTTTCTACCCCATTCCCAACAGCTGGTCCCCATTTACCCAGAGTTGGGGCATGTGGAGATGGACCCAGAAGCACTGTGGCAAGGTTTCACCACTGTGGTCAAGGGAGCAGTGCAAGGTACAGCTGCATCACCCATCCAGCTGCAGATGGATGGCATTTACTCCACCACAAATACTTCCACTGACCAAACTTAAAGAGCAAGTCACCCCTACCAGATTCTTACTCAACTACCACTTCCTGTTTGAAAAATGCAACAAATGCTGTTGCCTAGCAGACCGAGAGGGCGGAGCTGCTAACAAATACACACACTCACGACATTGTGACATCATAATCTACCATCTAACATCATAGTGTACCTCTTAGCCAATAGCGATGGCAGATTTAAATTCAAACGCAGTGCTGAGATTTTACCTGACGACGGTGCAACACTGACAGTTTTAGGCAGAATATTTAAATTGTAACTAAGATGCACTAAAGTGCCGAATTATTGACCATATTTGTCTACAGCACGATCAGACACTCATTTATATAGTTTATCAGCAGAAAATGTTGATTTGAAGTGACTTGCTCTTTAAGTATTGATGTCAAATGTGAAAGTAGATAATATCTAGTTTGTTTCTGTGATAAGGTTTATTATAAAGAGAGACCTGAGATATGGAGACAGCACATTTTTAAATGAGTCTGGTTTTATCACTCGTACAAACGCGTCGGGGGGGGGGGGGGGGGACTCGCAGAACATGACCACGTGTAATTTTCCCTTCTTGGTGGGTCTCTGTTTCTGTCACTCACGAGTCAGGTGTTATTTACACTTGGAACGGATATATTTATCTACCTAACTCGGTACGTGCGTGTGTGCGTGCATGTGTGTGCGTGCGTGTGTGTTTTCATGATAAAGATGCAGGAGCTCAGATGCGTCAGATGGAGGCTCTCGGCATTTCAACTCAGAGAGCGACTTTCACCACCTGGGACAGGTAGAACCGTTTTCTGTCAGAATGCTTTCAGTGACAGTTTGCCAAAAGCTTCCCACGCTTGTTTAAATGTTGCTCTAACTCACACACTTATTATCCTACCTGGCAGGAAAACTGGGACTCCCTTTCACAACTTTATCAGCTGGCAGGATCAAAGAGCTGCAGACTTGGTGAAATCCTGGAACACATCCTGCACAATCAAAGTTGGTCACATTCACTTTTACTGAGCAACGCTTGGAGTTGAAGGCCTAAAATATTAAATCTGGAATTGAAAAATGTTAGATTATTTTGAGCAGATTTTAGGTAATAAAAGTTCATAAGTTGTTTAAATCAGGGGTGTCAAACTCATTTTAGCTCAGGGGCCACATTGAGGGGAAATCTAGTCCCAAGTGGGCCGGACCAGTAAATAAAAAAAACTTCAGATTGTTTTCTTTGTTTTAACACAATCAATATAAAACAAGGCTGGAGCCTGAGGACAATGTATCCAAAATAGTACAAGTACAACACCTGAAGTGTACTTGAAAATTTGGAAAAAATTTAAAATCAATAAATAAAAAATACATTCCTTAGTGATTCAAAGAGCTTACAGATCACATGGCTAGATCAGTTTCATGCAGCACTTAAAGTATATTTGACTCATTTAACTTAACATCTTTTAGCTTTCACCAGAACATCAATATCACAATCACATCCTGAGTGGCGGCCAACTTCAGGATGTGATTCAAGTTCTTGTGTGAGCCTTGAGCGCAGCTTTGTTTTATTTATACTCATTACAGAGAAAACTTGCTCACAAAGATACGTTTATTTTCACTCTACATTGTAAAGTATGAAAATAAAGTTTACACAACCATCTCGCGGGCCGTATTTAACCTGCTTGCGGGCCGGATCCGGCCCGCGGGCCATATGTTTGACACCCCTGGTTTAAATACACTGCCCCACCCAAAGAAATGTCACATTCTCTCGTTGAACCACATTGGCGTTGTTTCAATAAGCTTCTGCAATGTCACCAGAGTTATTTCCATCCAGTGTTGCATGAATGTTTCACCAAGATCTTGTAATGATGATGTAAAGCTTGGTTTATGCTTGACGCATTCACTTTCCGCGCGGTGATGCGGCTCGCGGCTAGAACGCGCTTCACAACCTGCAGCGTTTATGGTTCGTGCGGCTCGTCTCTGCGGTGAGCCAATATTCTCCCAAACTGTAGGGGGCAGCATGGAGCTCTACGGCATGCATCCAACACTACACCATAGTAGAAGTAGAAATTACTGTTTACAACATGGCATTCCAGCATTTTTTACAGCATCCTCGTCTTTTCCGACAGTGCGAGCTATTTCTCTCCAAGAATTATTAACAACATGTTGATCACGGTGACCTCTGAGAGCTGAATCATACAAATGTCTGTATTTACCAACCTCTGCCATTCTAGTTCTTGCCAGTCCGCCATGTTTTTCCGCATCCGACCGTCCACGTGGTTAGAAATTTTCCGAGGTGCGCGTTGCGGAAATTCTGGGCCGTGCGGAGGCGCGGCGGAGGGGCGTGGTTGTTAAAATGACGCAACTTTTCCGCGCGGAGCCGTGCGGACCTCGCGGACGCGTCAAGCATAAACCAACCTTTAGAGTCTAATCGCTGCACAAAGCCTTCTCCAGCTCATCCCAAACATGCTCAATGCAGATAAGGTCTAGACTCTGTGGTGGCCGATCCATGTGTGTTTTGTTATTGGACTTCTGTGCTAGCCATGGATCGTCCACAACGAACTCCATATTCAGACATAAAAGGTGTCCATGTGTGCTCCTGGCACCAGGGTACCGTAGGCCGCAGCATGGTGATCGACTTTGTCGTCGTTTTGTCTGATCTGCGGCCGCATGTCTTGGATACTCGGATGAAGAGAGGGGCGGAGCTGTTAACTGACCACTACCTGGTGGTGACTTGGCTCTGATGGTGGGGGATGGTGCCGGTCAGACGTGGTATTGTGTGGGAAACCGACTGCTGTGTGGTTGTTTTTAATATTGTAAAGCGCTTCATAATTAAATTTGATTTGATTATTTTCAGACAGGGGCAACACTTGTTTTAGGTTTTGTGTTGAAATAAGTCCAGGACTACAAATGTGCTTGACCTAATTACAAACTTTTACAAGCTGATGAATCTCAGTATGTGACCGGCGTGGTTGAAATACGTATCATTACTTTCATTTGAATCGAAGTACAACGTGTGTGTGATTCAGCGCGTACGGCGAAGCAGATCAGAAAACGGCTCTTTTAGCCCCGTTGACCTGCATTAATTTTTTGTTCTTCCAGGGACCCATGAGCCAAGGACTGTCAGAATTTACCCCATTCACTCTATTTACCCCAGTCACCAAGACATTTGTATACTTCTATTCATCCCAAGCCCTATCCCTCTGTTTAAATGGAGTAATCAGATCAGCATCTATCCAAGGTCAATGATTACCTTTAACTGTAATATTTGTCCACGGGGCATGCTCTTCAATAACTTTCATGAATTCAGAATAAAAGAGCCCCCATGCAGTTTCAACGTCGGGTAAGATCAACACCTCCTGGAGCGGCTTGTAGCTGTAGCCAACGACGGAAGGAAAGCTAGTCTTTGTCTTTAATTCATCATAAAACCTTTTAGCGTCTGACCAACAATAACAAAACAAATGGCCAGATTATGTTTTAGTTGTTCTGAATGACGTAATGATGGGCCTTTGGATTCATCTTTAGTCACATGATTAGTTTTATTAACAGAACATCTGACAAACATGGTGATCAGTGCTGAACGTCTGATCCAAGGTACAGACGATGTTGTTATCGGGGATGAACCCAAACCAACCGGCCCACACCAAAGGTTTGGACCGACAACTATGTCCCCCCCAGACGTGATCCCTCTTGTCTTTTTCCAACAGATAATCCACGGAGTGATGAAGATGGTTTACTTCCTGACCCGACAAAAACGCTCCCTGGCAGCGAGTGTCATCGTGTTTTCCCCCCAACACGTCACCTTCCGCCTGGTGTGGGCTCTGGCACACTACAAGCAGGTGTGTGTGTGTGTTTGGGTCATGTATTTTGTTTTTTGTGTGCAGTTTATTAGTTTTACTGTATTAGCTAAGATTTCTACTTTTATCCTTAAAATATTTTCTTTTCTTAAAAATTTTAGATTATTAATTCCTGTCTTAATTTAAATAAAAGTGATAAACGCTTTAAAGAGAATTTATGCGTCTCCGTGGAGAGTCTCTGACTTTGGGAACCAGCTTGTCTGGGGCACAGATGAGGATCTCAGTCTTATCTTCATTCAGCTGAAGAAAGCTCCCACCATCCAGGTTTTGATAGAGTCTAAGCAGGTGTGTAACAGCTGCAGCTTAGACATCTCATGGGGCTTAAAGGAGATGTACAGTTGGATGTCATCTGCATAAAGCCTGATTCATACTTATCCATCCGAGTCGGTGCAGAGCCACACAACGTCATTATGCTTTGATGCAAGGGCTCTCCGACGGTCTCACAGAGGGTGACATGCCCAAAATTTTAAACATCCATCAAAAGTGACGGATACCGCAAGCTTGTGATTGGTCAGGACGCCGCTTCCTGTATATTCATCAACAGCACTGTTGCAGCTCCGTAAAAAATTTAACAGATATTTAGCAGCAGACCCAGAACAGATTGAAGAATGCATCGCAGAACCAAAAATATGAACATTTATTCACTCGTGAGTGGAGGAGTACAAAATATGGCGCAAATGAGGACGGAAACAACGGGAAAAATGGGTTTGGAGGTGGAGACCGCATGAAGAGGTGGAAGAGAATGAAGTACACATTTGCCCGTGTTATAAATAGAGGTGGGAAAAATGATTGATTCTAAGATGCATCGTGATTCAGCCGTGCATGATTCCGCATCGATGCAGCAATGTGACATAATGAGATTCTCTCCCTATGTCTATGTCGGGGGTCGGCAATCCGCGGCTCTGGAGCCGCATGCGGCTCTTCCATCCATCTGATGCGGCTCTCTGTGCTTGTAAGATAATGAATGGATATTTAAATAAAAAGCTTTATATTTTACTGCATTAATTTTACATCTGTATGCCAATTCTAAATGTAAAAATTGTCTGCGTAAACCTGAACAGGTCCAACCCGGTCTACTGTGAGACCGGGTTGACGGGTCACGCTTGTGCGTAATCATAGGCGCTTTCTGAGCTGAAGAGATTCTGGGATTCTCCTCAGACGGCTCCTGGATGTGTCGCCACATTGGAGACAGGAACAAGCGCTATTCAGCCAAAGTTTCATAGTCAGGGAACATTTTCTAAGTGACAAGTCTCTCTGAGAGTCAGGGTTTGGAAAACTCTCGCTTCAGTCGGAGGAATCTTCCCGCATGCGCTCTGGTTCTGCGACGCGCTCCAAGCCTCTCTCCACATCTTCAGCTCGCTGTGGACCTTATGTAGTAAACGCTGACAGCGAGCTGCGCTAAGCAGTGTCCAGCTCAGATGTTCAGAAGGAAATCTTTTCTTGAGTGATTTAGCTACATCTGCGATGTGCGTAGAATAAAATGTCAGTTCGTCTGCTTGCGTCGGGGTAATTCTTTCTATTCTTTCTCCGTCAAAATAAACGGTCAAATACGGGAACTGTCCGGTCAACACAAGCCCTGCTTTTAACTGTTCTGTTTTCTTGTGAAAATTGTTGCAAAGAGATATAATTTAACTTGATTAACACCAGAGCCAGGCGCACTGCTCCGTTATCTCGTCACTGTAAATGAGGGAAAAACAAAATGATCGGATCCTTTTCTGACCTTCCCCACCTACAAAGTTTAATTACAACAATCAAACGTGACAGAGCCTGGGTTTGTATTCTGAACAGTCTAAACATGTTTTAAAAGAAACGTATGACAAAAGTGGCACCTGCTCAGTAAAACCACCAACAGGGTGAAAAATATCTAAATATTGTAGCAGAGACGGGCTACAACTTCTGGATCCACTTTATATAAATCGTTTTATTGATTATTGTCTTATGAAAGATAGCTTTGACGTGCACGAGCGACCGGTACCGGCTGCTGTCACCTGTTGTGAGCAGCGCTCTGCTGTCTGAGGGTAGGCCCCGCCCACAACGCCGCGGCTGCTGTGTTTCCCAGTGTTTTCTTTACTGTGGGAAACGGGTAATAATGGCTCTTTGATGGGAACAGGTTGCCGACCCCTGGTCTATGTCTATGCAGGACAATAAAGTTTTGAGGTTTTACAATTACTTCTGAGGGCAGAGTTGCAATGACATGCTGTGTTGCCCTAGCACCAATTTAAAAAAGAAAAGGCAGACAGGGATACAGGGCCAACATTACCAGTAATCAAAGATGTACCCGTTACATTTAAATCGGATGTCTGGGCTAAGTTCGGTTTTGGTGATCCTGGATGTGAAAGAATCACTTAACACAGTATTTGTTTACTATTTTTAAGTTCAGTAGTATTCTATCTTAAAGCTGCTCTACCGAAAACATTATTTCTTATATTATTTAAGTAATTATAGGCAGCACACTTTAAACATTATTGCTCACTATAGTGAATAGATCAATGTTCTGTTTTTCAGGGATTTCGAAATCAAAAAGAAATTGAAAACTATTCTACTGCTTTTATTAAGTAATGAACATTTTTGTGTGAAGAATCGTGATGCATTTCAGACTCAAATCGAATCGTTAGGCAGATAATCGGAATCGGATCGAATCGTGAGGCAGGTAGAGATGCACACCACTAGTTATAAAGTCTCTAAAATAAATAAACACATTAGTAAATACACTATCCTGGCCGGATTCATGAGTGTTATAGTGGCAAGATACCTCATAAAAATGCTCCGCCCTCTGTTGTCCTGGCAGGGAACAGCGACACTCCGCTGCCTGAACAGAAGTTCGAATGTGAAAACCTTTCCGACACTCTGTGTGCCTCTCTCCGTTGCAGAGCTCACGGGGAAGTATAAATCAGGCCTAAATATGGTAGGAGATTCTTTTAAAGGAGCTCAGGATGTGCTGCAGGAGAAGCAGATAGAGGAGGAAGAGTAGAGGGCCCAGCAAAGAACCTTGTGGGACACCATGGGTGAGGGAGGTTGTGGAGGACTGAAACTTGGAGACTGCCACAGAGAAGGAGACATTTCAGCTATTAGATTAAGGTGTTAATGTAGTTGGTGATGGGAACGACAGCTCTCCTGTCTCATGGAGAGGACAGCAAATTATGAAGCTTTTAAAGGTTTAAGTTTAAGGTCAGGAGGCAAATTATTCCAGCGTGATGTTCTGAGGCTGCTTTTAAATCTGCAGACGTTTGTGGTGCGTATTTAGGTTAAAGCCTCATAAATTAGGCCAGGAAGTGTTTTATATAATTGGGTTCCTTTAAAAGCAGACCTGCTGGGCTGCAAGTACCAAACGGCTGATTAAATCCCAGCAGGCTGTGTTTTCCTCTGTTTTCATCCCCTTCTTCAAACTCCTCGTGGTTGTTTTTCCAGGTTCGCCAAGCGATTAAGGAAGACACCTGCTGCTTTGGAACAATAGACACCTGGCTCCTGTTCAAACTCACTAAAGGTTGGTGGCAGCAGCTACACCCAGCCACCTCCGTCAGCACCGTGCTGTATTACTATCAGACGTGTTCGGTTGATAATCCATCAGAATATTAGGAGTTTTATGGCCTGTAATCTTCCTGCGTCACCAGCTGCTTGAAATGTCTCAAGAATGTTTCAGTTGAGCTCTGCAGGAGAGGAAGTAGAACATAACCAGCGTGACCTCCTGCACATGCTACTCTTTGGAACCTGTTTAGGTGTGATTTGGTGTTTTCTTGTCATTTTTAGGAAGCGTCCATGCCACCGACTACTCCAATGCCAGTTCCACAGGGATTTTTGACTCCTACCAGGTCTGGAGTTATTTTCACGTCATTCTGCCAGATTGGTTGTGTGTCGTTTGGTCTGATTGGATGACTTGTTCTGACAGATGTGTTGGAGTGGATTTCTCTGCTCCCTGGTGTCTCTGCCTCTCTCCATCTTCCCTGAAGTAGAGAACACGGGGTGAGTCTACTGTCAGGAGCTGGTTAAAGGGTTGGGATTTCACATTGATCTGCAGAAGCTCTCACCAGACCCACTAAACAAGAACTCTGAACATGAAAACTGAATTTCAGCTTTTCAACTGGTAAATCCTTGTTTTACAACCTGACGTGTGTAAAACCCAACAACAATCTGTAGAGCTGCGCATCAAATTCGATTTCGTTTGTTTTTTATTTCATATAATTACTTTATTTTTATGCGTTTATCTACGGATTAGACAACAACAACCACATGTGTTATAAGACAGGTAGAGTCGTAGGCAGCCTAAGTCACGCCCACCTACGTCAGCACCACGGGTCCCCGGAAGAGCAAAAAACATGAATGCAAGTCAACGGGACTGAAAACGCTATTTTCTAATTCTGCTTATGTTCCATGGATTTCACACATGATGTCCGTGAATTTTTAAGACACATTTTGATACCAAGAACTCGCTTATTTTAAAATGGGGAAAACACAATTTTAGGTTTTGTGTGAAAATAAGTCCAGGACCACAAATGCGCTTCACGAGAGTGACGTCATCGAACCAGAGACGGAGAAAGCTGAAGGAAAATGGCTGTAAGTTCAGCAAACTTCTCACAGGAGGAAAGAACCACCATAAATCTGGTCACGTGGTGAGTAGCAGCTACGCTAGGGGAGAGGAGATTATGTGGTGATGTCACAAATGCGACGTGCCGTTCTCTGACTTGTAGTTATAGGAATTAAAAACTTTTACAAGCTGATAAATCTCAAAGTATGTGACTGGCGTGGTGGCAACTCACATTACTTTCATTTAAATGGAAGTACAACATTTGTGCGATCCGGGGCGTGAGGCAAAGCGGGTTAGGAAATAGCTCTTTTAGTCCCGTTGACTTGCATTCATTTAATTTGTAGTGAACTTACCATTTCATAACTTTATTGAAAATGACCAATAAGATGTGATGATTCCATATAAATATGAAATCTCAACCTGATGGATCTTTGAATGTTTAGTCAGAAGATTATAATTACTTTTACTTGTTCAGGGACCATAAACACACTTCGTATTATTTCAGACAGAGTCGGTATATAGTTTATAAAACCAATTTAATTATTTTTCCTAAACTAATAATTATACATGACAAGATATGAATAATGAGATGTTATGTAATAGATATGACATGCTGTGTGTGATAGATGTTTTACCAAAACCATTCTTTGTATCAGAGAGTTTGTGAAGTCTGGGCTGTAAAATAATTTGTTGTTTGTGGGCGACGGTGGCACAGGAGTTAAGTGCTCGCCCCGTAATCGGAAGGTTGCAGGTTCAAGCCCCGCTCAATCACTGTCATTGTGTCCTTGGGCAAGACACTTAACCCACGTTGCCTGCTGGTGATGGTCGGAGGGACCGGTGGCGCCAGTGCTCGGCAGCCTCGCCTCCGTCAGTGCGCTCCAGGGCAGCTGTGGCTACATCGTAGCACATCCCCACCAGTGTGTGAATGGGTGAATGACTGATTGTGTTGTAAAGTGCCTTGGGGGGTTCCAGAACTCTAGAAGGTGCTATATCAAATACAGTATTTGTTTACAAACTAGAGAGTTGTTTGTTTGAAAACCATCCGACGCAGTCTGTGCCAAGTCTACGCACCCTTTGTGTGGAGATTCTCTTGGGATCAAGGGGGTCAAGAGGTCGTGATGGACACTGCCAGTGGAGTGAACCTCTGATATCAGGAACCTGTAGATTAGCTCCGATAGGACCCGTCTAGTCTGAGATCTCTCCAGGTGACAGCTGGAGTTTGCTTCTAAGTCTATTTTTGGCTCTTAGAAGAGCCGTTTTGTCTGATATCACCTGCAGCGTTTCAGAGAGGCTTTGGACTGGAGGTCAAAGGAGAAGATGGTTTCAAAATTGTTTCTTCCCTGATTTGGCCGAATCGGGAGTCGGCTAGAATTAACCGGGAAGTAATTCTTGTTTTAATAAACTCATCGTTTATAAATTCTGGCGCATTCTGGCAAATCAGAATGTGCCATGTCTCGAGGGCTTAACCAAAACTTTCCGTCGGAAGACACGCCTTGTTCAGATACAAAGGTGTTTAACTCTTTGTGAATGAGAATGTTTTAAAACACTTATGTGAAGTGACTATTAACATTAGTAAGTATCTTATTATAATGTGTGTGAGTGTAGAAAATGATTAACTTGTTAAATCAAACACATACTGATCTGATGTAGATAAGATCTGAAACGGATCATTGCAGGAGCAATATTCATTTTAAAGCCATCATTGATTTAAGCACAGATTTTTCTAACATTTGATTTAAACATCTTGTTCATTCAACACATATGATTATTTAAGCTTATGAGTCTTAAAGTCATGTAGGCTTCAAGTAGGTTTGATTTTTATTTAGCGTGAGGAATTAGCGGTCTGGCTTTACGCAGAGACTGCAGGACCTTTGCAGGAGACCTTGACAGTTTTGTTATGTCTTGTATGCAAACAAGCACTGAGCAGAACTTTCTGGATTTGGAGGCCAGATAGATGGTGGCTTTATGTCTGCAAATGAAAGGTTATCTTGTGGTCAGTTAGGTGGTGCAAAATAAACCTCTTGGGATACGTAACCAATTGTTTTCCTGCGGACCCTGGAGCCGACCGGAAGGGGAGGAGACTACGCTCCCTATAGGAGTCTGACCTGGGTCTGTTACTATGGTAACGTGCTGGGTTTAGGTGTTTAGAGTTTTTTTTTATCAGTTATCAGACAGAATTTGGGGTTAAAACTGAATATAATCGGTGCAAAGAATAGTTACTACAAGAAATTTTAGCATCAGAACTTAAAGTTTGAATTTTTCTTTAATTAATCCCACTGAATATTTCCTGCTGTTTATTCTAAAGCCTTTTTGTGCTGCCTGTGAAAGCAGTCAACACTCTCTTCCTGTGTCAAATAGATTTTAGTGGGTAGAGAAAGGATTTCAGTATAACTAATTCTCAAGCTTTTCAAAGTATTCCCTAATGTAATGTGTGAGGCCAAGCGAACACCCATAATAAAACGCTCAAACGAGGTTTCCTGGCCTTAGTTTGACTAATGTCTTGCAGCTATGTGAGAGAACATGCTAATGGATTATCAGTGTCAAAAATAAAGGACTTCAAGTTGTTTAAAACAGGGCATTAGCAGCATGTTTAACAGTGGCTTAAATGCAACATAAACATGAATTAGTTTCATATCCAAATTCTTTGTGTTAAAGAGCAAGTCACCCCCCTACCAGAGTCTAACTCCACTCCCATTTCATGTTTGAAAAATGCAACAAATGCTGTTGCCTGGCAGACCGAGAAGGCGGAGCTGCTAACAAATACACACACACACAGGCTCATGACAGCATTGTGACATCATAATGTACCAGTTTACATCATAGCATACCTCTTAGCCAATAGCGGTGGCAGATTTAAATTCAAATACAGTGCAGAGTTTTTACCTGACAACGGCAAAACACTGCCAGTTTTAGGCAGAATATTTAAATTTTAACTAAGATGCACTGAAGTGCCAGATTATTGACTACATGTGTCTGCAGCACGACTAGACACTCGTTTATTTAGTTTTTCAGCAAAAAAAGTTTATTTGGGGGTGACTTGCTCTTTAAATTTATTTCACTAACTACTTTTTCTATTTAAGAAGGAACCCTAACATGTTTGTTTGGATGGATGTATTTATTGAGAGGAGGGTGTTGTGATCATGTTGACGATAAAGTGCTGCTTGTTCCTGCTCATAAGCACGTTAGATAATCCTCTGTCTGCTCTCTCCTTCATCAGCCATAACTTTGGTTCTACAGATCCGTCCATCTTCGGAGTTTCCATTCCCATTATGTCACTGGTGAGTCTCTGTGTTCAATTCCTTGGTACAATCTGTGAGATTGTGATTAATAAAACCCACATGAACCCTCATACTGAGGTCCCCCAGCTGTTACACTGTAAAAAGGACTTTTCCATGAGTCATGTTGCTAATCAGCTGCACCTAATATGTTCCTCATGGTAACAAGAGGATAAGATGCTCAGTTTGAGTGTAAGTAAACACTCTACCTTGTAAAAAGATGAGGTAAGAAGTTTAAAGTTCAGTTATAGTTCAGAAGGTTTTTTATTGGCATAAAGATTTAGCTCAGAAATCTTTGACCAAAACTATCTCACTTGTTACTTTAAGTCACGTATTTAGCAGTTAGGCTATTAGTCTCCAATTAACCTGCCAGGCATGATTTTGGTTTGTAAAAGAAAACTCAAAAAACCCACGCGTGCATGAGAACACGCCAGCTCCACGCGTGCATGAGAACACGCCAGCTCCACGCGTACATGAGAACACGCCAGCTCCACGCGTACATGAGAACACGCCAGCTCCACGCGTACATGAGAACACGCCAGCTCCACGCGTGCATGAGAACACGCCAGCTCCACGCGTGCATGAGAACACGCCAGCTCCACGCGTGCATGAGAACACGCCAGCTCCACGCGTGCATGAGAACACGCCAGCTCCACGCGTGCATGAGAACACGCCAGCTCCACGCGTGCATGAGAACACGCCAGCTCCACGCGTGCATGAGAACACGCCAGCTCCACGCGTGCATGAGAACACGCCAGCTCCACGCGTGCATGAGAACACGCCAGCTCCACGCGTGCATGAGAACACGCCAACTCCACGCGTGCATGAGAACACGCCAACTCCACGCGTGCATGAGAACACGCCAACTCCACGCGTACATGAGGAGAACACGCCAACTCCACGCGTGCATGAGGAGAACACGCCAACTCCACGCGTGCATGAGGAGAACACGCCAACTCCACGCGTGCATGAGAACACGCCAACTCCACGCGTGCATGAGGAGAACACGCCAACTCCACGCGTGCATGAGGAGAACACGCCAACTCCACGCGTGCATGAGGAGAACACGCCAGCTCCACGCGTGCATGAGGAGAACACGCCAGCTCCACGCGTGCATGAGGAGAACACGCCAGCTCCACGCGTGCATGAGGAGAACACGCCAACTCCACGCGTACATGAGGAGAACACGCCAACTCCACGCGTACATGAGGAGAACACGCCAACTCCACGCGTACATGAGAACATGTTGACACATGCAGTTAGTTATGGTAGTGGGGGCTGTTTGGACGACTGCTGCCATAAACACTTCCACTGTCCTTCTGTCATAGATGGCGGACCAACAGGCAGCTATGTTTGGAGAATGCTGCTTTGATGTGGGTGATGTGAAGATCACCATGGGAACCGGCACCTTCATGGACATAAACACTGGCAGCAAACCACACACATCTGTCACAGGTGAAAGATATTAATTTGTACACACGTGTTAGTCGGTACAGAGTCGTTACACCCCACCCCTGTACAGGTCTGTACCCTCTGGTGGGATGGAGGATGGGATCTGATGTGGTGTACCTCGCTGAGGGAAATGCAGCAGATACCGGCACGGCCATCAAATGGGCCCAAGAGCTGGGTGAGCAGTGACTGCTTCACACTGAGACATTTAACAAGATTCACTCCTAAATGACCTTCTGGAATCGTCCCCACTGGGATTCTTCTAGATTCCTGTAAGGTTACAGCTTGTGCTTGTTGTTGCAGGGCTTTTCTCTGACGTCCGAGAGACGAGTGTGATGGCGCACAGCGTCAGCGATTCAGATGGAGTATGTTTCGTCCCATCGTTCAGCGGCCTACAGGTAATGTTAATATTCGTACCAAAGGTAAAATGTGTATTTTCAGAATTTATGTGCTGTAGATATTTGTTAATCCAGTCTAGGAGCTGTTTTTTCTTTAGCTTTTACTCTAACACAGTTGTCTCTTTTTCCTTTGTTGCTTTTCTTCGGCCCGCCGTTGTGAACAGAACTGTAAGTGTTTCCTCTGAGTGTTTCTATGCAGACCTGATTAATAAAACTACTTCCCAGGGTTCCTACACAGTTTTCTTACGTTTATAGAAACCATTTGTGACAAGACCTGAATAGATGGGCAGAAAATTGCCGTAACAATCTCAATGTTTCAGTTAGAAAGTTCTGAAAGTGGAGGTTGTGTAGGAACACTGCCTTCCCCTCTGATGGACCTTTTTCACGTGTAAACGCGCAGCTCTGTAGCCATCACCGAAGGCATCACAGCATGTTTAAGCGTTTGTTTCGTGGGTCACACAAATCAAGTTGTGTGGTTATAAACAGCAGTCGCCTGTGGAGCACTTCCGGCAGGATTATTAGATTATTCTGCTGGATTATGCGTCTGTGTGAAATCAACAATGGTGTAAAAGTTTCTGGTTTACATGAGTCAGTTTGATACATTTGAGATGGAAATCGTTCTGAGATATAATCCACTTTGTGACCCTTCTCAGACTAGCTGTCTAGTCGATGCAGTCAGAATTAATATGGCTCTAATATACTTTAATGCACTAGCCTTCATGTAAAGGCGAGGTAGCTTTGTTTATAGAGCACATTTCAAACACAGAGGCAATTCAGGGTGCTTTACTCTCATCAGGACATGATATGAAAACACTAAGACACAAATTAAAATACACACAGATAGAATTACAGTTTAGAGCTGAAGGAGAAGACAAAGTTACAGTGCAGATTACAGTGGAGATGATGCAAAGTAAGAAACTATGCTTTTAAAAGGCTGATGAGTGCATGAGGGTTTTAGTTGTGTTTTAAACATAGACTGTACATACTGGACAAACGAATTCCATAGGCTCCAATAACACGTTTTTTGTCCATAATGGGACGTGGCCACCACTGCCATTTTGACCGTGTCACAGGTTCCGTCCAGCCCAGACAATTCCATAAAAGGGAAGAGACGAGGCGCTGAGGGTGGGGCTGTAAGGCTGGGATCGAGTGACGAACTAGCTACGAGCTAACCTGAAGCTAACCCTGGCTAGGGTCGGGGCAGATCTGAGGTCATGGGGAAGCTGATTCCATATGTGAGCAGCATGTTTGGTTCTGACCCGAGGTTCTACCAGCTGATTGTTTCCAAGGGATCTCGGAGCCCTGTTGGGTGTATATACAGGAATGAGATCGGACATGTGCTTTGGTCCCATGCCGTTAAGTGATTTATAAACTAGTAGTAGCACTTTGAAATCTATTCTGTAGTTTACTGGTAACCAGTGTAGGGATCTAAGAACAGGAGTGATGTGCTCCGTTCTCTTAGTTCTTGTTAAGACTCTAGCAGCAGCGTTCTGAACAAGCTGCAGCTGCTTCACAGCTTTTCTGGGAAGACCAGTTAGGAGACCACTGCAGTAGCCCAGCCGACTAGAAATAACAGCATGAATGAGTTTCTCTAAGTCTGGTCTGGACACGAGACCTCTGACTCTTGATGTTTGATGAAGGTGATAAAACGCTGATTTAGTTACAGCCTTAATATGTCCAGAGAAGCTCAGGTCTGAGTCAGTAACACCTGGATTTCTAACCTGGGTCTTTGTCTTTATTCCCCTGGAGTCCAGCTGAGCAATAACATCCATCCCATCCTTCTTGTTGCCAAAGACAATAACTTCAGTCTTGTCTTTGTTTAGCTGAAGGAAGTTAGGCTGCATCCAGTCGTTTATGTGTTCTAGACACTGACAGAGTGAGTCCAGTGGCCGACAGTCACTAGGTGTAAACTCTGTGTTCTGCTGAGGATTTATACTTATTAATAAATAATCCTACCAGTGGGGTCTGCGGTTTAACCGTCACCTTATCGTGGTGGAGGAGTTTGAGTGCCCTAATGATCCTAGGAGCTATGTTGTCTGGGGCACTTAGTGCCCCTGGTAGGGTCTCCCATGACAAATTGGTCTTAGGTGAAGGGTGAGACAAAGAACGGTTCGAAGGATCTTTCATGGCGGTTAAAACAAAGAGTCGGAGTACCCGGCCCGGAGGGTTACCGGGGTCCCACCCTGGAGCCAGGCCTGGGGTTGGGGCCCGTGAGCGAGCGCCTGGTGGCCGGGCTTTCGCCCATGGGGCCCGGCCGGGCCCAGCCCGAACCGGATACATGGGCTCGTCCAACTGTGGACCCACCACTCACAGGAGGAACATGAAGGGTCCGGTGCAATGCGAATCGGGTGGCAGACCAAGGCGGGAGCCTTGGCGGTCCAATCCCCGGACAAGAAAACTAGTTTTTGGGACATGGAACGTCACCTCGCTGGCGGGGAAGGAGCCGGAGCTTGTGGCAGAGGTTGAGCGGTATCGGCTAGATATAGTCGGACTCACCTCGACACATTGCATTGGCTCTGGAACCCGAGACCTGGAGAGGGGTTGGACACTCTACTTTGCTGGAGTTGCTCCGGGTGAGAGGCGGAGGGCTGGGGTTGGCTTTTTGTTAGCCCCGAGACTCTCTGCCTGTGTGTTGGGGTTTACGCCGGGGGACAAGAGGGTAGCTTCCTTGCGCCTTCGGGTCGGGGAACGGGTCCTGACTGTTGTTTGTGCTTATGGGCCAAATATCAGTTCAGAGTACCCACCCTTTTTGGAGTCCCTGGGACGAGTGCTAGATAGTGCTCCATCAGGGGACTCCATTGTCCTGCTGGGGGACTTCAGTGCTCACGTGGGCAATGACAGCTTGACCTGGAGGGGTGTGATTGGGAGGAACGGCCCACCTAATCTGAACTCGAGCGGTGTTTTGTTATTGGACTTCTGTGCAAGCCGCAGTTTGGCCATAACGAACACCATGTTCGAACATAAGGATGCCCACCGGTACACTTGGTACCAGGGCAGCCTAGGTCACAGGTCGATGATAGATTTTGTAGTCGTATCATCGGACCTGCGGCCGTATGTTTTGGACACCCGAGTGAAGAGAGGGGCGGAGCTGTCAACTGATCACCACCTGGTGGTGAGTTGGATCAGATGGCAAGGGAACATGCCGCGTAGACCTGGTAGACCCAAACGCATAGTGAGGGTCTGCTGGGAACGCCTGGCAGAAGAACCTGTCAAGACGGTCTTCAACTCCCACCTCCGGCAGAGCTTTGACCACGTCCCGAGAGCAGTGGGGGACATTGAGTCCGAGTGGGCCTTGTTCCACTCTGCGATTGTTGAGGCGGCTGTTGCTAGCTGTGGTCGTAAGGTGGCCGGTGCCAGTCGTGGTGGCAACCCCCGTACCCGCTGGTGGACACCAGAGGTTCGGGGAGCCGTCAGGCTGAAGAAGGAGGCCTACAGGGCGTGGGTGGTCTGTGGGTCTCCGGAGGCAGCAGACAGGTACCGGATAGCCAAGCGGGGTGCAGCAGTGGCAGTTGCCGAGGCAAAATCTCGGGCGTGGGAGGAGTTTGGTGAGGCCATGGAGAAAGACTATCGATCGGCTCCAAAGAGGTTCTGGCAAACTGTCCGGCGCCTCAGGAGAGGAAGGCAGCAACTCGCTCACACTGTTTACAGTGGGGATGGGGAGCTGCTGACGTCAACTGAGGCTATAGTCGGACGGTGGAAGGAATACTTTGAGGAGCTCCTCAATCCCACCAATGCGCATTCCGAGGAGGAACCAGAGCTGGGAGGCCTGGGGATGGACTGTCCGATCTCGGAGGCAGAAGTTGCTGAGGTAGTCAAACAACTACATAGCGGCGGAGCCCCGGGGGCGGATGAGGTTTGTCCTGGGTATCTCAAGGCTATGGATGTTGTAGGGCTGTCATGGTTGACACGTCTCTACAACATTGCGTGGTCATCGGGGGCAGTTCCTAGGGAGTGGCAGACCGGGGTGGTGGTCCCCATCTTTAAGAAGGGTGACCTGAGGGTGTGTTCCAACTATAGGGGGATCACACTCCTCAGCCTCCCTGGAAAGGTCTACGCCAAGGTACTGGAGAGGAGGGTCCGATCGATAGTTGAATCTCAGATAGAAGAGGAGCAATGTGGTTTTCGTCCTGGCTGTGGAACTGTGGACCAGCTCTATACCCTTGCAAGGGTGATGGAGGGGGCATGGGAGTTTGCCCAACCAATCCACATGTGCTTTGTGGATTTGGAGAAGGCTTATGACCGTGTCCCCAGGGGCACCCTGTGGGGGACGCTCCAGGAGTATGGGGTGGGTGGCTTTCTGTTAAGGGCCATTCAGTCCCTTTACCAGAGGAGCGTGAGTTTGGTCCGCATAGCCGGTAGTAAGTCGGACCTGTTCCCAGTGAGGGTTGGACTCCGCCAGGGCTGCCCTTTGTCACCGGTTCTCTTCATCACTTTTATGGACAGAATTTCTAGACGCAGCCGTGGTGTGGAGTGTGTCGAAAAGGGTGGCTTGCCACCTCCGGGTCGGGGGAGAGGTCCTACCTCAAGTGGAGGAGTTTAAGTATCTCGGGGTCTTGTTCACGAGTGAGGGTAGGAGGGATCGGGAGATCGACAGGCGGATTGGTTCGGCGTCTGCAGTGATGCGGACGCTGAGCCGATCTGTCGTGGGGAAGAGGGAGCTGAGCCAGAAGGCCAGGCTCTCGATTTACCGGTCGATCTACGTCCCAATCCTCACCTATGGTCATGAGCTTTGGGTAATGACCGAAAGAAAGAGATCGCGGATACAAGCGGCCGAAATGAGTTTCCTCCGTAGGGTGGCCGGGCTCAGCCTTAGAGATAGGGTGAGGAGCTCGGACATTCGGGAGGGACTCGGAGTAGAACCGCTGCTCCTCCGGATCGAAAGGAGCCAGTTGAGGTGGTTTGGGCATCTGGTCAGGATGCCTCCTGGACGCCTCCCCGGGGAGGTGTTTCGGGCATGTCCTGCCGGCAGAAGGCCCCCGGGTCGACCCAGGACACGTTGG